GAACGATTAGTTGCCCTCGCAAGCGGATTCAGACCAATAGCTGTTTTTGGGAAGTAGATGTCACTCAGCACGAAACTCACTGCGCCACTGCATTCTCAGTGTAGCCAGCGGGTAGTGGATCATGCTTCTGTCTGTTTCAGTTTTCCATTGTACCGGGAACTAGTACTCTAAAATTATTATGTATAACTCCCAATCACACACTTTTGGAGTGCCTCTGTCCCCCACCAAGAGTGACAGAGAAGCTTTGACTCCTCATACACATACGTACGAAGAGTGACAAGAACGCCTCAGACAATAATCATGGGTACCGCACGTCTGTGATGCCACTGGGATGCTCAAAACACGCTGGGTGCAGCTGTGCTGGGTGATATATCTCCAGCTGGTACCCGCAAGTTGTTCGGTGTATTGTGCGCCCTCTTGTTTATATGCCGTCAAAAATTTATGTTATGTCTGCATTCTAATCGAAACCATTGTATCTGGTTTTTTCATATTTTCCACTTTGTCGAAGGCAAATGTCCTGAGTTTGTCAGGTACGTCTGTTATTGCTCGAAGTTACTTCCTTTGGGTTTTTTAAATTTTTTCTTGCTGTTATGAAAGCCACTGTTAGTTTGTTATCTATGCCTGTTACTATCAGCAGCTAATTTCTGCATCTAATTATTATTATCAGGCTCTAATATCTTCAATTTGCTCTACATTTCTGTCTTACAGAAGCTAATTTTACTGTGTTATGAATTCCTTTTGCACTGGGAAATGTCACGTTCAGTTTGTTATAAATTTCTGTGTTATGAGTCTTCGTTTTCTCACGCATAACTTTTTTTTGCGATGTGGTATTGGTAACTGTGGTGTATCACATTTTCCACCTGTATTCTCGCAGTAGCGGAAGAATTAAAGCGAAACCCCGCAGTAACCTAAAAACGCACGCACATAGGCGCATTCAGGTGACTTGCTATGATTTTTATTGCTCCGCTATATGTCAGGTCCTATTGGACTGCATAATTCTTAATTTACCAGCTTGCCTGCGGTCTTAAAGAGAGTTCCACTGTGCTTTACTGTCTCGATATCTGCTCCCGCTTTCCGATTATGCTGTGGTACTTAAGGGGCCTGTGTGTACAGTGGGATTTCACGCCGAACTGGCCTGAGTGGGAGGCATGCGTAGGATTCGCCGGAGTAGAAATGGGGAGCGAATGAAAAAAAAAATACAATTCCGGCAGGATCGGTTGCTCCGGTACTGCCACTATGTTATTTTTACTGAAATGCATGTGGCTGGTTTCACAAAATCTATTTGGATGCCCTGGACTTTATTTGCTGGGGATTAAACGTTCCGCTTTCTTAAAACGGGCAGGGGATTTGTTCGGTGATTCCTGTAAGGGATAGTGTTTCCCCTTTCGCCTCCTCCCTCCTGATTTTCTCAGTCAACCCGAACAAGCCTTTTCAATATCCAATTTCTCTTTAGTTCCACGCCAGAGTGTTGCATATTATCGTGTAAATTCGTAGGTATTGCCGAAATTGATTTCAGTACCTGGTTTCTTGGCAGATGCAAACTTGTGCATCTACTGAACAGTTCTGGACTGTGAATTAGGTGATACACTTTGCCGTCACTATTTTGGCTCCACAAACTTGGGTTGATATGTTGGCTTTTTATCCAGCCGTGCCCCTACCACAGCTGCAGTGCTCTTACTGACATTACATCGCTCAGTGGAGTCTTTGGCTCTCTAATGATTCGCTTCGTTCTTTGCTTAGTGGTTATTTTCGGTTGTACACTGTGTTACGTAAAGTCCATAAAAAGTAGGTATTTCGGGATTTATCTGACTTTCACTATCGCACTCTTTCAAAGAATTGGGCACTGCAGTAGTTGTTTGTAAGCGTGCAGTACCTAATGCGCAAGAGCAAACGATTCGTCTCGTCTTTCACCGTCATTTCCATCAACTTTTTTTAGAGAGCAAAGGGTCTGTGTGCCTTTGTCTGTATGGGTATGTGTGTGCTCGGGTTGTTTTTCATCAAAACTATTGTTAAGGGCGAATATCTGGAAATTAAGTTTCTATCGGAAATGCAGAATCGAAGATCTCGGCAATCTCGAATGCCAGCTGTGTAAGTTCGCCACACTCATGCAAATTTGTAAGGACGGCAATGCAGGTCCCGTCGGCATTAGAACCACGGCGATCGGGTTTTAGAAGCAGGACGGATGATGCGCCTACCGCAGCGCCAGTATGCATAAAAACGCCCTTCCGTGTCCAAGCAGTAGCCAAACCGCCGTATTCTTGATCTGCTTCATCAATCTTGTACCATCCAAGGGCGTAGACACGGCCTCGCTGGTCTGAAATCACACCGCTCCAAAACGTTTTCAATGTTTCGGCGTCCAACAGTGGTTTCCGTTCATTCACCTGGTTGCTGTCGCTTCTGGGTGACTGCGGTGAGGCAGCGGCGTGGTAACTGGAAATGATGCTTTGTTATCGGTAAGCTGAGTTTCCTGGGTGCTTCCGAATGTTTCCAGGAAGAAGGCTGCAGGTAATACAAAAAAATAAGGAATGAGCAGTTCAGTTCACCTGTAAAGCATTGCGTTCGCAAAAATCAGCAAATCGGTGACTGTGGACAGCAGCCCACCACCGGCCCATTTGCAAGAGTTGTCCACTTCAGGCACGTTCCTTAGCTTATGGTCTGCATCGCGGTAGTAGTACCTGCAACAGCTCGTACTACGCTTGCAGCTAGCCTGTGAGATGAGTGCCA